CCTGTGCGCGCTCACTCGCAGCTCCGCGCGCCCCTCCTCCCTAGTTTCTTCCAGAGCCCGGGCCCCGCCCGTTTCCCGCCTCCAGGGCCAAGTTCGTTCCCGCCCAAGCCCTTCCCTCTCTGAGCCCCTGCTGCTTCTGCTGAAGGCGGAGGCTCCATGTTGTCTCCTCAGCGAGCGGTAGCGGCTGCCTCGGGAGGAGCAGGTGAGGCGCCTAATTTCCCCGAGGCTCGCTTTATGGCCGCCCCCCGCTGCCCTTCCTGCTAGACCTCGAAGGAGGCCGCCCGTCCGTGCCGCCGTTCCTCCTTGTCGCGGGGCTGGAACCGCACGCCCCTCGCCGGGGCCCCTCGCCCGCAAATTCGGGGCCGAGGGCTGCTCGCAGCGCCCGGTCGGTCGGGCGCGGGCGGCGCCTTACTCGGCCCCCGGCTGGGAGCGGCCGCCTTCGGGGGTCAGGCCCAGCGCCCGGGGGAGGCCGCTAGTGCTCTTCTGGGCTGTTGCTGCGGGTGTTCCGTCCCCGCGGCCCCTGGGCGGTGTCCAGAGGCGTCAGCCCGCTCTGGGCAGAGCCCGGCGCTTCGCACGCTTGGGGGCCGGGAACCCTGGGCCGGGAGCTCCGGCCTTGTTAACTGGCCGAGGGAGCGAGAAGGCAGATGCTTTATTATTGTTCAGCCTTTAAGAAGACTTTGGGGGACTGCGACGTGTCCTCGAGTTGGACGCTTTATCTTTACCCTGCCGACCTTGAGACACAAGAAGTATTAAGAAAGTCGATTTTCAAACCATACTTTATCTCCATAAAGGAGATTTAAAAATGTGGCCTAAGTTATTTTTTAGGAAGTTCTTTTAGTACGTTTGGTACTGCACGTTGTTCCTTTGCTTTCCTGAAGACCAAAAAAAAGTTTTAAATAAAAACCAAATAGAGTCACCGTAAATTCACGGGTACGACTTCATTTACCTGGCTTTTTTGTTTAATGTGTATGCTGTTGAAATTGCCAGAAGTTTCCCTTGCGAAATCTAAAGGCAAGAGAAGAAAATAACATTGAAGAATCATTTAGTAAATAAATCCTGGTTCTCAAATTTGAATGTGGAGTTGGGTGGAATGTTTCGCGAAAGGGAGTAAAGAACTAACGGACCAAGAACGTGATTTCACATCTTGACTTGCTTTTGGAGAAGGGAAACCTGCGTAGTTTTAATCCGCGGCAAGTATTGGACATTGCAATGTACTGAAATTCTAAAATTAGTACTTTTTTCAACCCCCATAGAAACTAGTTGGTATGTAGTCCAGAAATCCCTGTTGTTGCTGCTTTAACCACTTACAAGTGAAAGACTAGAATGAAACGTTCTCTACATAATGAAGCTTTACACTAGTACAGCACATTGTTTTATTAGCAACGGCTTATCTTATTGAAGTAAACATGAAATTAAGAAAGTTAACCATAGAGGATAAATGTGATGAGGTGTACTAGCATACTTTTCCTAGTTTTAACTAAATAGGACTTGTTTAGAGTAGGCTTTTTAAAAAATTGGTATAGCACATGCATTTTTCATTTTTATGATTTCTAAGTCATGGAATAAAGGATATAGTCACTATTTAAAATAAAATAATAGAATTGAAAGAAGTAAGAAATATAAAGTTTATTCTACCTCTCCAGTTCCCCAGTGGTCATTATTAACAGTTTGGCCACATATTTATTTTGGGTGGGTCACATATTTTAAGATTCCTATGAAGTACCTTAGGGAACCCTAGGTTGTATGAACTTGTTTGAAAACTGGTTTAGTATTTACCTATAATGACTAGGTGTGCCTGTTAAAGTTTCTAAGTAAGGCCTTGTGTTTCATATTGAGAAATTGTTCAAATAACACAACTAGATTTTAAAGTTAGTATCAATTTAAAAACATTTTCCCCAAGTTACCTTTGACATTTTAAAGTATATTATCTAAAAAATATCAAGGGGGAAAAGTGAGGGGAAAGCTTTTATTTAAGAGAAAAATCTTTTAGTTGCTATAGCGTTGCAGTTCTCAGCACTGCTGCACATTAGAATAACTTGGGGTTTTTAAAACCTGCTGATGCTTGGTTCCTACCCACAGATTCTGACTTAATTCATTGAGGGGTCAAGCAACAGTTAAAAAAAAAAAAATCCAAATCTAATTTGCATACTAATTTATAATCAAATTTCCCAGTAGGTAGTTGCTCAAGTTTAAATTTGTTACTACATAGGAAGTATAATTTGTAATGTCAGTATATATTTGTATTAGAAGTTGATGTTCTTCATTGCAAATTTCTAAAACAGGTGCTTTTTATTGGCATGTATTTTGATTGTTAGAACATGTTAGATATATTTCACAGCTAGAGTATTTCATATCAGGAAAGAGGCTTTACTGGTATAGCAGGCAAATAAGCAAAGGATTAACTCTTCTTATGCCTTGAAATGATAAGGAATCTCAGGCAAATAAATATTGCCAATTAAGAAAGCCTCATTAAATTGGAACACAATTAAAACCTTCAGGTAGTGAGAATAATTTTGGTGGTGGTCTTATTTTTAGGGAAAAGTCAAATAAGATGAATATTAAAGTCATTCTCTAGTAAAAAGATCCCCCCCCAGTACATATAGCCTGACATCATTTTTAGATTCAGCTGAGTCTCTGCATTTCTGTATATTCAATACTGCATAGTCATAATTGATCATAAATCACGAAGCACACAAATGGTTTTGTTCAGCATTCTGTGCTCAAGTGCAAAGAGTTTTTACAACAGATGAACTGAGAAAAAGCTTCCTTTAAAATCCTTTAATTAATTAGGATGTAAAATTTCCCCTGATATTCTGTTTAGTTGGGTTTAAGTAGTATTGTCACTGAAACAGCCTTAAAAATTTATGTGTATCTACCATCATACTCCGACCTTAAGAGAAAGTAGAGTATATAAAAGTATTTTCTTGCCATCACCAAAAAGGAACCACACCCAGCAGTTCTAGAGTTGGCTGAGCGCTTAGTGTACTTTCTCATAAGATGTTTTCTCTGGCCTGGTGTGTGAATTAGGAGCTGTAAGGACTGCCAGCAAGAACAAGGCATGAAAATGGTATGCTTTTGTTTCTGAGTGTGCTGCTTTTCACTTACAGAGAATGGATTTCAAAAGGAGAGTGGAATACTCGGTCATAACTTTAGCCTGAGTCATGCACTCTACATGGAAATGTTTCTGACTGTAGTTAATTTGCTTTTCAGATCTCATTGGACAGTAAGGATGAGCACTGAGGCTGGCTCCACCCCAGTGGGTCTGGCTGATTTTGTAGAGAAAATCGAGACACAGAAAATAAAGTGATTTACTCAGGCTGATACTTTCAGTGCTCAACTGGGCCCCAAACTGTGGTCTTTCCTAATTGGGAAGGCCTTTCTTCTATATGTATTGCCTCACTAGAATAACAACCTTTGTCAAAGCAGGGCCTTAAATCATGGAAGGGAGAAGTGATAGGATTTGATGGTATATTGCATATAGGAAAATAGGGAAGATGTGGAGTCTGAACTATGGAGATTCGAGAGAAGTGGGTTAACAGGATTCATTTTGATGATACTAAATGTAGATTTCTAAAATGTTAGTACTGGAAGGGTTGCTAGAGGTTAAATACTGACTCATTTTTCTGTTGAGACAGACTAGACATGCCCAGAATCACAGGTTGTTTGTGGTAGAACTGGAACGGGATCTCGTCTCCTGACTCTTATGCCCATATATTTCTACATATTACTCATGAGAGTGAGGTGATGGTGAAATATCCAGTTGAATCTGTCCCTTAGGTAGTTGTGCATTTGGACCTGAATGCAGGTTAGAAATTAATGAAGTGGTATCACCAACATAGGGGGTGTAGTGAAATAAGAATACAGAGCTCATTGAGGGAGTGAATGAGAACTTTGCATAAGCTCAAAGCAGAGCCTTGGTGTATATCATAGGAGGCCGAGAAGAAGTGAAAGATGATAAGGAGGCTGGATGAGAAGTAGGAGTGTGCACTGTCACAGAGTCGGTAGGCTTTATGAAGTTTTAGAAGTGGGGGGCAGTTGTGTTTTGTCACAGAGAGAGGATTGAATGAGAATCAGGGCCTTCACATTTGGCAAGAGAGGCCATAAATAAGGAGAGCCTGAGAGGAAAGGCAGGAGGGGCTAAGGAGAATGGCTCCACGGGTGGGCGAAGACATGCCTTCAAGGAATTTGACAATAAAAGAAAGGAGACTGGGAAGGGGAAGGGAAGAAACTGACCTTTGTTTTTAAATCCTCACCTGAGGATATTTTTTCCATTGTTTTTCAGGGAGAGTGGAAGGGAGGGAGAGAGAGAGAGAAAAACATTGATGTGACAGAGACACATTGACTGGTAGCCTCCCACACTCAACTCGACTGGGGGCCAGGAGTGAACTTGCAACCCCTGTCTGTGCCCTTGACTGGGACTCAAGCCCAGGACCCTTTGGTGCACTAAGCACTGTGCAGCACTGGCCAGGGCAAAACTGATCTTTATTGAGGTGTACTATGGAGTTTAGTGTTCACAACACTAGGAAACTATTATTTTTCCTATGTTAGGTACTGAGGCTGAATGCCTCCTAGTTTCTCTACTCCCCCGGAGTTTGAAGTGTGGGTGGTAAAAGTCATAATTACAATATAATAGTTGTAATGAGTAGAATAAATTTATGTACTAGGTTTTAATGGAAATAGGAACGTGGGTCCACTTTATTGAGTCCCTAAAATGTGTCAGATACTAGGCTTTGAGATGGGTATTAGATTTATAAATGAGCTACAAGTGGTTAGAAATTTATCCATAGTCACATTGTGACTAAGCGGTGGAGTTTGTTTGTTTATTCCACAGGTATTTATTGGATGCCTACTATGTGTGGACACTGTTCCAGGGTCTTGGGGGATATAGCACTGAACAAGATACAAAAATTCTTGCCCTCATGTAGAGGGGAGAAAGGATTCAAGCCCTGTCCTGTCTTGATACCAGAGCCTGTTTTCTTTTTAGTGTACCATGTAAGTGACATAGCCTCTGAGAGGATAGGCTGGGAAGGATCAGGACAAAGGGAGGGTGAAGATGAGTGTTGGAAGGAAGAGCAAGTGTATGTGTGGTCAAGGGGGAAGAAGCACTTCAGGAGGTGAGCACAAATGGTTGAGTAGGTTGTACACTTGAGATTTAGGAATTAGGACAGAACCTGAATCCTAACTTTCTCCCAGTATAAAGACCTATGAAAATAAATGTGCCTGGGAGAATGAGGAGAATAAGAAATTAGAGGAATAGGCAATGGAGGGGTGGTGGTGGTGGTGAAAGGCTTTGACTTAACGGGATGGAGATTTTAGCTTTGAGTTGTCCATAAAATATTTTTGATAGCCTTTATGTAGTTGCTGTCATGATATGTTGAAGATATAATGGAGTTGGGCCCTAAAGGACTTGAGATGACATCATCAAAGAAACACTTGGGGATGGTGACTTGGATGATCAACCTAATAGGCAAGAAAGGTTGGAAGATGGCATAGCCTAAGGGAATGGACCCTAAGATTTGGATTAAAGGATCTAAGGGATTTGGGGAGTCTGAGTTGTGAGGATAAGTCAGCAAAGGACATTTACATGACATCTGGGAAGAGGTGAGTAGAAGTAAAGTTTTTACTTGGATGATCAGTGATACAGTTCCATTCTCCTAGAAAGTGAGATCTAAAGATGGTGTGCTGAAAAGTGAGCAGCTCTCTTTGTTTACATTGGATTTTGGTGTACAGTTCACACCAAAAGAACAAGATCTTTTTTTAATCCGGTATGCCCACTGGACTGTTGTGAAGAGAGCTGCAGGATCATCCAACTAAACATAGCCTGCTTTTCCTTTTCACTGTGCTGTAGGCAGGAAGACGTGAGTAAAGGCTTTATTGCCTTTGTTTTAAAATGGTCCTCAGTGGTCTCCAACTTCTCTTGAAGTGCAACTCATTGTGCACAACTGCATACATTTTTGTCATTAGATTATTCCATCCTGTCTGTAGCCTATGTAACCTTATCTTCCACGCCTGTTGCTCTAACAGTACCACCTGCATCCTTAGGGTTGAAGCCTTCAACTATATTATAGCACGCATTCATTCTTTTTTACAACTTATTGTTTGTCTGCTTTGTACCAGTACATTCACACTGCTCAGTAAACTTTAATAGTGAAAAAGATGAAATTAAAGAACCAGTATCATGAACTTAATTGTGAAGTCCTAGGGGACTATTGTATGGGTTTCTAGGTTTGGCCATGTTTGATTGAACCTCCAGATAGTGATTTAAACAAGGTAGATTTTAACTCCCACCTCCCCCCCCATAATAGTGAGCCAGCGTGGCAGTTCTGTAACATGAAGTCCTAGGTCCTACCTCTCTTGTTGCTCCAATATTCCTAGGGTGTTTCCCTTGTGTACCTGGTCCAGGATGACTCACTCTCACTTTTACATCTGGTCAGCAGGAAAGGGGAAAATGCATGACCTGGAAGTTGCTGTATCATTTCCAGTCAGAATTTATTGACATGATGACACCCTAGCTGCAAGGTTGGGTTGGAAATGTGTTTCTTTTAGGCAGTTAATATGCCCAGGTAAAAATCTATTACTGTAGTAGGAGGGGAAAACAAATATTGGGTGAGCAACCAGCTATATCAGGGACTTCAGTACAGCTTTGAGTGGTTTATTCATAAGGTCTGAATAAATTGTTCTCAATAGTTCTTTTACACAAAAGATTGAAGGTCTTTAAGTGTTGGATTCACCTGCTGTTGTGGCAATGAGAAGAACTTTTAAGGAGATTATTCACAGAAATGTTTCTTATCCACCAATAATGGTAAAGAAAAGTATTAGTATACTTTTATTACAACGATAGCATTACATTTAATATATATTTGTTTTCTAATAGTCTGTAAAAAACTAAAAAGTGGCAAGAACCCTTTTGTTGCTCTCTGATAAAGTTTAAAAAGTGAGCAGCAATTCCATAGCTTAAAGGGTAGACTCTGGCAGTTAAGCTTTGTTGACCATATTTATGATTTTTTTTTCTTTTTTTGGTTTCAGAAAGAGGAAGGGAGAGGGAGAGAGATAGAAACATCAATGATGGGAGAGTCATTGATCAGCTGCCTCCTGCATGCCCCACTGGGGATCGAGCCCAAAACCTGGGCATGTGCCCTGACTGGGAATTGAACCCTGACCTCCTGGTTCATAGGACGACGCTTAACCACTGAGCCATGAATAAACCATATTTATGATTTTTGACCACATCTGCGTAACCTGTATATGCTTTACTTAATGTTTGTCCTTCAGTTTACTTTAAATTGATTCATTCTTTAAACTTAGCCTCCTTCTAAGCCATGATCCATTAAAACGTGATTTTGTTTTCTAATAGACATTAAAATGCATAACTGTTAAAATAAAATATCCTTTTAACCACCTAAAACATCTTTTTTTTAATACCAGTGGTATGTACTCACATTTAGGGAAATTAGTGCTTTGCTTCAGTTCCAAGGCCTGCTACTTCTTTGTAAATTTTTTATATATCCATAGCTACTAAGAGGCTCTGAATTTCAGAGAATTATCTTTCTGCTTTCAACTCTGGTAGGGAAACTACTAGTTAGTGCTTAATTTAGAGCTAAGAATTAATTGCCCCTGAAATCGTCACAGGATTCTTAAGAGTGATCTGTAAAACAGCCACCTAAAGACCTTTTCAAGATTCTTCTCCAGGAACTGTTGGGCAAGATGCTTAACTTTTTTTGTAGGCCTTAGTTTTCTTATAATTAATGGGACAGTGTTATTTACCCCATAGGGTTCTTTTGAGCATTAAATAATATATGCAAAACGTATAGCAGTGGCAGATACCATTTCTGTTAATGGACATTTGGGTTATTTCCAGTTTTGTACTATTTTGATATACCTAGGAGTGGAATTAGTGGATCCTAGGTATGTTTAGTTTCTATAAATACCGCCAAACAGTTTTTCAAAGTGGTTATATTCCCATCAGAATGTATGAGAAATTCAGTTGTACCACATTCTCTGCCACAGTTGATATTGACCTTCTTTTAAATTTTAGCCATTCTGGTGGGCAGGAAGTGGATCTCATTATGGTTTTACTTTACATTTCTTTGATAAATAATGGTATGGAAGCACTTTTGCATATGATCATTGACTATTTAGATATCCTTTTTTAATGAATTGCCTGTTCCCAGTCTTTTGCTCATTACTATTTTTAAAAAATGTTATATTTGTCATTTTTTTTAAAAAAAAAAGTTTTTTATTGCTTTTAAAGAGAGAGGAAGGGGAAGAGAGAGGAGCATCAATGATCAGCTGCCTCCTGCACATCCCAGTAGGGGATTGAGCCTGAAATGGGGGGGGGG